TAACATAAGCTCTTTTGGGAGATGGGGACAAGGGGTAGGATTGACCAGAATGTAGCCATTAGGTTCTACACCCTGTTTCATCCTATTAGTATATATGAACCTTCTCGGCAATAAATACATATTAAACCCCAATTACATGCCATTATTAATTTCTAATGTTTGAGAGAAAGTCTTTTTTTCTGTCAGTTATCAAACATTGAATAAGTACTTCTCACGTAAAAGGCACTGTACTAAGCACTATAACACAAAGAAAGGTAAAAAAAAAACCAACCTCTTCCTTCAAGTAGCTCACATTCAACATGGAAGACAACATGTAAATAACTAGGTATATACAAGATATATCTAGGGTAGATGAAAGGTAATTCTATAGGCAAAGGTATGAGCAGCTATAGGTTCCAGGAAAGCCTTCCTACAGAAGATGGGATTTGAGCTGAGTCTTTAAAAAAAAAAGCAAGGGATATTAAGAGCCAAAATGAGGAGCAAGAGCATTCAGGAATGGGGAACAAACAGGAGAGATCAGAATTAGTGTTCTTTTGAGGAACTTCAAGTAAGCCAGTGTAGCTGGATGGAAAAGCACTAGTTGCTCTTCAAGGATAAAAGGTAAGAAGGCTACAGATTGTGAAGGGCTTCAAAGGCCAGAGAAGTTTATATTTAATCTTGGAAGTAACAAGGAGCCTTTGGATTTTATTAAATATAGGGGTGATATAGGGAGACCTACAATTTAGGAAAATTACTGTGGAACTGAAATTAAAAATAGATTAGAGTGGAGAGGAATTTGAGGCAAGGAGACCCATTAGAAAGTTCTTGTAAATGTCCAAGATAGAGGTGATGAGAGTCTGAGGCAGGATGGTAGCTGTATGTGTAGAGAGAAGGAAACATATACTTTAGATGTTGTGAAAGTGAAAATGATAAGATATGGCAGTAGGTTGGTTATGTGAAGTAAGAGAGAATGAGATGTTGAGGATGACACCAAAGGTGCTAGTCTGGGTGAACGGGAAGACAATGGTGCCTCAACAGTAATAAGAAACTTGGAAAGAAGAGATTGAAGAAGGGGAAGATAACAAGCTCTATTTTGGACATGTTGAGCATGTGTATATGGAGGACTGAGGCAATCATCTACTTACAGATGGTAATTGAACCCATGAAAACGGATGAGCTCACTAAGCAAGATAGTATGGGAAGAAGAGAACAGGAATTGGAATAGACCCATGAGTAGCAGACATGACCTGGATGGACTTTGAGAACAAGTGGTAGAAGAATCAGGACAGAGCAGCATCATGAAAATCTAAAGAAGAGAGAATATCCAGAAAAATAAAGTCATCAGCAGTGACAAATGCTCCAAAGAGGTCAAGAAGGACACGGATAAAGAAACAGCTAATGGTTTGGCAATTATGAAATCACCAATAACTTTGAAAAAGGCTGTTTTAGTTGAGACTTCTCCAGTACAAAGAAAGCAGCAGGACTTTTAAATTACTCCTAGATCTAAACTTTCCAAATATGTCTCTTTTCTCGTGTTCTTTTTTTTTTCCTTTTCCTTTTCCTTTTCCTTTTCTATTCTTTTCTCTTCAGATGAGGTGTCCTTATTTTGCTCTGGTAAGAAATACTTGCTTACAAGTCTTATTGCACCCTGGTCAACACAGGAGCTTTGCCTGACATTTTTTTTCCACTGTAAGCCAGATCACCCCTTCTTAGGCAAGGTGGTTCCTCACTCTCAAGGACTCACCTTACAAGTGCCAAACTTAGTACAGATACCTGATTGGCTTAGCCCACTGCAGCTTAGGACTTCTGAGCTCAAGAGATCTGCCAGGCTCAGCCTCCTCAAAAGCAGGGATTATAGGCATGTACCACCACACCCAGAAAGTATATTAATTTAAAGAAACTTTTAATCTCCTTGCTTCCATATAGTCTATAAGGTAGTTAACATATAAAAATCTTGAATTTCAAGGAACACAAAAGTAACCAGAGTAAGTAAATTCTCAAAAGAATCATTTTTCAAAACTGCTAATAAGGTTATGACTGTCTAGTCTCCATCTAAAAAGAACAGGAAAGTTCTAATTTGCTGTGGAATTCTTTCTTCATTTATAATTCATAACTTCTCATTGCTCAAGGGATATCCATTATCCAAGCAATATTATCATTGCAAAAAAAGAAAAAAAAACAATTGGCTGTACCTTTCACTAAAAAATATCATCTTGGATAGAAAGCTGTCTATGCAAGCAGCAGCTGTGTTGAATAGCATGTCTTATTTATAAATAGCAAACGGATTCAAAAGTTGAGTCATATAATCAGTGTACTCTGAGTCATTGGCTAACTAAGCAGAGAAACACAGTACTTTCCTTGACAGCAAAAAGAGGGGTATCGAAATAGAACAGGAAAACTTCTAAAAGCCAAAACTTACAGGTTAAAGGGTGATGTTAGGCAAATGCAAGCACATAAAAGAAACCTCAGATGGTCAACCAATGACACATAATTTACAAAACAGTAAATCTTGTAAACAGAAGCTATATCAATCTTCATCAGATGATATTTACTAGGTGACCCCTTGTTATAAGATGTTATAATGTACTCTTACACGTTACAGCAAATGTCAATCAAATGAAAAGTATTTGTCTTAGTAAGAAATATTGTATAGAATAAGCATTTGCCTGCGAGTCAGGACACCTGGGCTCTAGTTCTGGTTCTGCCCCAAAAGTAGCAGTTTATCTTGAGCAATGTCTGTGATCCTCAACTCCCTTATCTAAATCTTGGTTTCAGTTCTCATGTGATTTTTAAAATATATTTTATTGCTTTCATTAAATATTTCCCAGTTAAATATAAAAAATTTAATATTCATTTTTAAATATTTTGAGTTTTAAATTCTCTTTCCCTCTTGCCCCTCCTTCACCCATTGACAAGGTAAGCAATATCTCATGTGATTCTGATACACATACACACACACACACACACATATATATATATAAAGGGAAGAAAGAGGATGAAGACTACAATACTTTTTCCAAATGAGTAAAGAGTAGAGGTGAGGTTTTTTGTTTGTTTGTTTTAATGGTTTTGGAATGCCACTATATTTTTAGAATATCAGCATTTGTTTCTATTTATTCTCATGTTAATAGGCCTGGAAAGTAGGTGGGCCCTGGAAAGCCTGAAGTATATTCCAACAGTGGCCATCAAGATAGACCAAAACTGTTGTCTGGTATGTTTTAAGATTGAGTACTGTGCTAGTATATTTGGGAAATTGAGAGCTCAAGCCAACACTTGGGATTGAATCATTTTTACTAATCAGATTAATTAAATTTCCTTGCCAAATTGCTAGGCAGTATTTTAGGGACATCAAGGTCACATTTAGTAGTAGTCAATATGCTTCACTAAGGCCCTGTGCAAGGAGGAGAAGGGAAGGGGTTACTAAAAAAAAAAAAGAAGTAGGTTAAAGGATAAAGAAGAAATGAGGAGAAAAGAGAAAGGGAGAACAAAGGTTTGAGCTTGTCCACAAGCATAACTACTCAGTGATCAATTTCCCAACGTATATTATGATTGAAGGAATATTACCAGAGTCTACTCAAAATTACTACCAATCATATCTGAAATTCCCATCATTATTATTACTCCCCTGGTTGAACAACATAGTCAGGAACTTTGTATCCAAAAGGCCACTAATAAGTATATTAACTGGAAAGGAATAGGGTAGGGGTGATGGAGGCAACCTTCTCTTCTGATTTCTCTTATGTTACCATGGATTTGATTATGCATATGGTTTTTCTAAACAGGTTGTGGAAAACAAATGATGCCCATCATTTGGGAAATGACCAGACAAATTTTAAGGGAATAAAAAGAAACAAATAAGGGTGAATTCGGAGAAGTATGGAAGATTTCTATGAACTGACATAGAAAGCAGGGCCAGTAGAACACACATACACGCTCACACACACGTGCGCGTGCACATACACACACTGACTACAATACTAAAATGATTACAATGAAAACAACATGAAAAGGTAACTGAAATCAGATTAAACACAACAACCAATATAGGTTCTAGAGAAGAAATGAAGAAATTTACTTCCTTTTACTCTATAGGGAAGTGAGAAACTATGGATACGGACAGTTTTCAGATACAATGCCTGTGTCCACCAGTTTTGCTTGTGTTCTGTTTTGTTACAAAGTAGGATTATAGAACACAAGACATATGTTAGTTAACAGCAGTGATGTTAAAACCATATAACATACACACACAAAAGGATCACAAATCTAAAGCTATACAAGACTTCAGAGATCATCTATAGCAGGGGTGGGGAACCCATGGCCTTGGGGCCACAGAACTGTGAAGTTTGGATTCAGTCAAAGAGCCACACTTGAGGACTTAGAGGGCCACATCTGGCCTCAAGGCCACAGGTTCCCCACTCCTGAATTCTAGATCAACCTCCTCATTTTAGAGATGAGGAACCTAAGGCCCAGGAATGTTAAATAACATGCTCAAGGTCAAACAGGTAATAAGCTTTAGGGGCAACATTGAAACCCAAATCCTCTGACTCCAAACCAAAACTTTTAAAGCAGGTTGTGAATTGCAAAGGATTTCCATGTTGACTAGATAAAATAGAGGCTAGTGAATTGAGAATTGAAGGGGGAAATTTAATTAACCAACAGAGACAAGGAGTTAGCCTAACAGCCAAAACTCACAGAAGTTGAACTACCCCCAAGAAGATCAGGAAGAACCTGGCCATTTTCATTACTAAACAGATTTCTCATTGAATAAGGGTCAATATCATGATGGAGTCCTTTGTCCTTATCTGTTACAATATGTACCCAAAATTTAATGTAAGGTTATCTGGGCAACAGCCAAAGGAATAGCCATTAGAAGTGTGAGCATAGTGGAGAGGGTTGGGGGGCACAAAAGATACCAAGAAATAGAGAATTTGGTTTATGTGTAAGATTTGTTTGTTTATTTGGGGACAGGGTAGAAAAGGGTACTTGCTTAAATTAAACCATTGTGCCAATTCTCAACCCACCTGTTATAACTTTGCAGAGTTCCTCAGTTATCCATGATTTAGCAGGATCACCAGAGTTTGAGGATCTTTTCCGCCTGACCAAGTGTTCTCGTCCACTGAATGAGCCCTGCGAATTATTTACTGGTTGGATTAGCATCTGTTCTCTTCCAATCTGGATATACCCAATCTGCATAAAAAGAAAAACTTGGATGTTTATCATAATCATTGCCACACTGTAGCAGCCCAAGTATCAACATATAAACTTCATTCGACTTTTTAAAATGCTTCGAGTTTTCTTCTCCTTTGAAATCTCATGGTTATCCTTGCCCTCAAAAGCTGGTTTGCAAGTATGATTAACATACAATACCAAAAATGAAAACAAAAAACTGTGGGTGGCTGGAACTAGAATCCTGTGCTTTCTTCTCCTTCTCCACCCCCCCACTTCAGAGTTAATCCTAAAAGCCCAAGACAATCTGCCCACCCTTCAGGAGAGTAACTGCTCTTTGTTGTCTCTTATGTGAAACTGCCAACAAAGCAAGATTTTTTAAAAATTCAATATTGCTGACAGCATTTCAAGATAGATTACACCTGCTCCTTTCTTCTCTTGTTCATAGCCTGCAATTTCACTGCTAAATGGAACGCTTCTAAATTAACTACCCAGAATTCCTTTGGAAGAGATTGACCTAGAAAGTATAGTTTCGTCTTAGATTGATTCCAGGACATTCATTCTCTCTTTGCCCCTTAACCCCAAACCTGGCACCTACATCACCAAAAAGGCATCACCAAATCACAGGGCTAAGTCAGATGAAGTGGCACCGTTTTAAAAGTAAATAAAGATTCCTCGGCCACACTGCTAATTTCTTCAGGAATGGTAGCCATTCAAGGCAAATGATATTGACCCCATTTTAAAGTTATTTAAAATGGAAAGGTACCAACATTCTCTGTGGAAAAAAGAAGCAAATCAAGCAAATAGAGTGCCCAACCACCCTCAGACCTAAAAGCTAGAGCTAATCAAGATAGAGGGTGAGACTGGTGTTTCTCCTCTAAGCAGAGATTCAAGGTTTACATTTCATTAGAACCTGTGCCAAGAACAACTGAGAGATTTTACTGCACAAATAAAACTGTCTAAAAGCTTAGATTTTTCTTTCCTTTTCTTTGAAGTTACAACTTTTATTTGTTCACTCATACACATCAGGAAGATTGGAAGAAATGGGAGCAAAAGGGTACTGTAGCGGGATTTTGTTTGCACCTAAGGGAAGAGGGAGCTAATTTTAGAACTTTGCAATGATCACCTGTTTAAAAAGATTCTACTTGTTAGAAATAAAATGACATTATAGCATGATGCATAATATTAATCAACCTACATGAGTCTTTATATTCAACTTATGTTCAATTGACTCTATTCTTTCCTATGCATTGTATGAAATTTCCCTTACTGCTGTGAAATAAAAAACTATCAAGCCTAATGTTTGGTTTCTTAGAAAATGTTTTCACAAGTACTAACAATGCAAATCATTATTTATTTAAATATGAAGTAGTAGATAGGGAACTGGGTGGCAAGACTTGAGGACCCAAATTCATGTCCTGCCTATGATCCATACTAGCTATGTGACCTTGAGCAAGTCACATGACCTCCTTTCCCCAGGGCCAATCTGCATTGGTAGAAAGAGTGTGAGGATCCCGAAGTGCCTTGGAATAAGGGAAGTGGGGAGAAATTTTGGAGCAAAATAGTCAGGAAACAAAGCCAAGGAAAATTGTGAAAAGGGGTGGCATGGGGTTGTTTGTGTAAAAGACACAGAGGTGTGAATAAAAGTGTGTGTTAGAAATAGGTCTGAAATGGTATGTATCAGGAATGAAGGATAGTAGAGGATGTATGAAGAGAATGTAGCATGAGAGACCATAGTAGAATTAGGAGAGGTGAGTGAAGTGAAAATGGTGGTGTGTCTGATGAGAACAAGGATTCAGTGGTATGAAGCAAAACAGATGGGATTACTGAGAGCAACAAGCATTTATTAAGCACCTACTATGTGCCAGGCACTATGCTAAGTGCTTTACAAATTTATTTCATTTGATCTTCACAACAATTCTGGGAAATAGGTGCTATTATTATCCAGTTGGGGAAACTGAGGAGGTTAAGTGATTTGCCCAGAGTCACAAAATTAGTTAGTGTCTGAGGCCAAATTTAAACTCAGATCTTACTGACTCTATGGCACTGAACCCACTAGCTACCTAATAATCTAGAGAGAATCTACAGCATGCAGAGAGAGCCTTCCCAAGGTCATGAAAGGATCCAGCAAGGCAAGAAAAACCCAATGGGCCACTTACAACATCACCTGATCTACACAATGGTCCTTGTGAGCTTACTTTGGTTCTAGTCCCTCCCTTTTCTTGCAGTGAAATTTCTTCATAAAACCTCTATACATATTTACATTTCATACATTTCATAAGGAAACAAAACTTGTTTTAGGAAATGCTATCAATCGATCCATCACTAAACATTTATTAAGCACTTACTATGTACCAGGCACCATGCTAAATGTCAGATGCCAGTATAAACTATACCACTTCATTATAATATAATTTTCAAATTTTCAGGTATTTCTCATTTAAAATTTTCAGATAATTATATAATTATAAGTACAAACTTGTTCTTTGGGCACTATTTTTCATTTGGAACGATTGTCTTGGGAAGTGTCCAAAATATAGGTGTTGTATTTTAGAAGCAAAAATCTAACTGACTGGAGATGAATGGTTTGACTAGTTTAAAAGCTTATATACACTATGTGCTACATGACGGTTATAGGCTGGGGGTGGCAGGGGAGAAGGGGCAAGGCAGCCTGAATTACAAAATAGGTTGCATTAAGGATGTGCAAACTCTTGAGAAGTCAGTTAATCTATCAGTACAGAAGAATTTAAGATCTTAGAGGACAGGAATCATCCCATTTTTTTTTGTCTTTTTTTGTCTTTTTGTCTTGTGCCTATCACTGTACTTTGCACATAATAGGTACTTAATATGTCTTTTAATGGAACTGAATTACAAAAGATTATGGGATAATAAAAAGATGAGAAAAAACAGACAATATCTGATATCTGATCAACAGTGAGGGCCAAATGTGACTGAAAGTTGGATTCCCTCAGGAAATCTCAGAGATAGCAGATAATAGCAGAGAGAAATGATTGCCTTCATAGGGGATCTGGAAGGAATTAGCCAAAGCACCAGAACAAGTAATGCCAGATAACAGGAAAAAAGGTGGATAAGCTATAGACACAGCAATATGAGATATCATTTGTTCAAAGGCAGCAGGTAGATAAAGAGCTGGTCATAGAGCCAAGAGGACCTGGACTCAAGATATATCTCTACCACAAACTAGCTGTGTTTCCCTAGTAAGTCACTTAACCACCTAGTGTCCTAAAGCAACACTCTAAGACTGTAAGTTGCAAAGCAGATGCGAATCTGCATTGGTAGAGGGAGTTTCCTCACTGGAAATTACCTATAATAATAAAAATACAGTTTCAAAATGAAAAAGTATATTTGTATGTGCATACTCACACATGCATATTTCACTCTTGATCAGACATCAGTCATGATGCCTTATTCAAAAGAAACATGTTACACTAACTTTGTAAAAGATTGCCATTTCTTTACATTTCCTATAAGGAAAGCCATAAACCTGAGGGGTGAGCATGGTGGAGAGCATTGAAGAAAAACAGAAGGAGAAATAGCATTAGTATCATTATGGAAATGAACATCTGACCAGAAGGAAAAGAAATGGATAATGAGTACTAGAAACAGATCACAAATGTGACTCAGAGAAATAGGAGAATAGTTGGCAGTGGCCACTCTGTGCCGAAAGAGGAGCAACTGATAAATTCTTGATCTGTCTTTTTAATTATCTCCCTCTTTAAAAGCTGAAGGAGTAATGAAGGCAACAGCTATTTTGGACCTGATTCTGTCAAGTAAGAAGGATCTGGTAGTGACAAGAAGTGGGAAGAAGTGAATACTATCCCTGAGACCTCACTGCTAAATCCCTCCCCGCAAGGAGATCAAAGACACAAAGAAAGGTCCCATATACATTAAAATATTTATAATAACTCATTTGGGGGGGGGCTAATGAAGTGGAAACAAAGTAGACACCCATTATCTAAGGCAGGGGTGGGGACCTGTGGCCTTGAGACCACATGTGGCTCTCTAGGTCCTCAAGTGCAGCCCATTCAGTCAAATTCTGTGAAGTTTTTGAATTCTGTCAAAGAGCCGCACTTGAGGACCTAGAGGGCCACATGTGGCCTCGAGGTGGCCAGTTCCCCACCCCTGGTCTAAGGAATGGCTAAACAAATTGTGGGTCATAAATGTAATGGAATATTATTGTGCCTTAAGGAACAAGCCTATGATAAACTGATATAGAGAACTCTCAGTTGAGGAAATTGTCTATCAATGCAAGTCATCACCTTCTCTGCAACTTGATGTCTCAAAGAGTCGCCTAGAGCAAATAACTAAAACAAAAAAGTGGATCTTTTTTTTAAGTTTTATTGGGGCAAAAGAAAAGTCAAAGAAAGATAGGATCACTGCTCAGAGAAGATGGGATAATAAGACAATAGAGAGAGGCAAGACAATCTAACTCTTAATTTCCTTTTTTTCCCTCTACCTTAATAGGAGGACCTTCTGTTCATTCTATCTTTAAACAAGAAAGGATAAAACCAAAATAGGAGATGGGTTCTCAGAGCTGTAACTAGCAACTTAGTCCCAGTGGCAAGCTTAACAAATTGAGCCCAAGGCAAGTAGCATAAATGAAACATTCAAATAAACTTATTATGAAACATTCATTTAGGTTGGGTAAAAGACCCCAGGACCTTGACTTCTGGTGACAGAGATCTGAGGATAATTCTTCCTAAAGGGTGTGATGGAGTTTACTTAAGATGCAAACTTGGTGCAAAGAAGTTTATCATCTGATGCCTTCTTATTTTAACTAATTATTCTGGTAAACTAGGTGGTAAGTGCAGATTTTCTAAGCTATTTTATAATTATGGTACCGCAGGACAAAGCCCCTATCACCTTGCTTTAGTAATGGTTCTTCAGGGACTTCAAACCCAGTATATATTCATTTAAAGAGTAACTCACTGACTTTAACATATTTAAGTCTCAAGTTCCAAATGAACTACATTCCAAGATACTGGAGGAGGCAGGGAGAA